GGGACACGGCAATTTCTAAAAAATGGGGATACGGACACGGCAAATTTTTTAATTTTTTTATAAATATTTTTATTTTAATATACATTAATTATTTTATTTATTTATTATATTTTTTAAATAATGTGTTCTAATTAATTTTTTTATTTTATTTTACATACATGTGTTTTTATTTATTTATTAATATGTATAAGTATATATTATCTTACAAGTATATTATGTTATATAATAACTATTATATAATATATAACTATTATATAATATATAATAATAATAGTTATCCTTAAAATTGAAATTCATGTTCTGATGTCCAACCACTAACTCTTAGACCATATTATATATTATAATATATAATAATAATAATTATAATATAATAGTTACATATATATATCTGGGTCAAGAAGATAAAGACGAGAGAGAGAGAGAGAGGTAGACAGAAGCGAGAGAGCGAGCGATCGTGATCACAATCGCAAGGGAGAGAGAAGGCGAGAGAGAGAGAGAGCTCTTAGAAGTCGAATCGAAGGGCTCTGGATCGTCGAAGTCGAAGGGAGTCGAAGTGGACTGGATCATCGAAGTCGAAGGGCTATTGCTAGTCGAAATGGACTGGATGGAGGTCGGTTGGCTTGAGATCGAAGTCATGAGAGAGCAAGAGAGAGTGCGGCTTACAGCGCCAACCAGGTTTGTACTCCTTTTCTCTTTCATTTACTCTTCTCGCTGACCGTGTCTCATGGCGTGTCCAAATTTGAAAACGCGTGTCCCCGCCATGTCCCTTGCAAAAAAATAAATTAAATTAGGACACGCCATATGGAGTGTCCCATATGTGTCCCCGAAGTGTCCTCGTATCCGACACCGCCACGGCTTCCATTTTGGCGTGTCTATGCTTCATAGGTATTAGGAGAAAGTGATTTTGTTAAGTTTGATCCGTGTTCCATTTTTTAAGATCATCATATCCGTGTCCATGTTCATGCTTCTTAAGTGCAATTAAGCATATAAAAAACAAATATAGGGATCATTCCGAAGTATTTACAATTCATTTAAAGCTTCAATAATTACTTGAGTACATGGGTGTACAGACCACTTGTTTCCAAGTTGAATCTGGGGTTATGCAAAAAAGGCAAAAAAGCCTCTTTTTGAGCATGGTGTTTTATTTTTGAACTCAACTTCCAGTTGCAGCCAATAAAGCACCAATCGGAGGGGGAAAAAATAAGGATTTCACTCTAATAGACGCATCCTTTGAAGACTCAAGAACTCTAGCGACAGGAAAGGTAAGGAAAACCATTTTCTTTTACTGTCATGTACACGTGTTCAATTGTTTCAAGAAAATGTAGGTTCCACTAGAACTATTTTCTTTAAGGAACTAGTTTTCCTCAAATCCTTTCCTATAAAAAGTACAAGATTTAACATCGCGGAAAAATCAAAATTATTTTTCTACATAAATTTTCTTTTAAACTAAATAAATAACGGGAAAATAAATTATTTCTATTTTATTTTCCTTTCCTTTCCGTTAAACCATTTTCTCTCAAGAAACATTTTCGTGTAACAATATATGCTTGACATCAAGTTGTTGAAGGGGGCTAATCTTTTTTGACTTTTTTTTTACTGTTTGTATTAAAATCAAACTTCAAAAGACAATTTTTCTACATTTGAAGTATATTCAGAGCCTCATAGAAGGATCTACGTTTACAAACTTCACTTTCTAGAGTTGTTGCCAGGTGTTTCACATATAAAATATTTATCCAACCAAAGAATTTTTTTTCACATATTGCAAGTCCTTTAGCTTAAAGCTACTATTGAAATGCCTTTGTGAGAATATATTGTATATATTCTATATTAGGCATACTTCTGATTGTATATATTAGGCTTGATTTAGGCATGGTTGTAATTACGTTATATTAAGTATGATTGTAATTATGTAATATTTGTATTTTCTTTTTAGTTTTAGGAGTTAGGGATTATATATACTGAGGTCTTGATGTAACTACATATACAATTGAATATACAAATTTCTCATAAAACCTACAATCTTGACACATAAAATCATGAAATTCCTTTATAGATAATAATGGATCCACTATGGAGAAAACAAGAACCAAAAGATTTCAAATACCATCATTTCCAAACATGGTTATTGAGAAGTTGGCAATGAGTCAACCAAATAGAAAAAAAGGCTTCAGCACGAAAAAAAGGTTAGCATCCATTACATTGGTAAGTTGAAAACGAACTGAGAAATACGTAGGTGTAGAAGTTATTAAGGATGGGATGTTGGGGTTAATAGTAGTGTTGTCATTATACCCGCTAACCCTCATAAATCGTCCGACCCAGACAGCCTCATGATGTTAGAGACAATTTCGAGCAGGTGAATGATAGGCTGCAGTTTTCTAATATATTATTTCACGAGTTTGTGGACGGAAATGGATACAAAAAATACACACCCGACCAAATAAATATAATTATATAGCATTTTATATTGGTGGCCTTGAAAGTACACTCTTGTCAGTTTGAGCTCTCTATGACAGACCGCTACGCTTTCTCATAACCATTCAATATCTTTCTCTCATAAACCCAAAGACTTCCCCAAAAAACAAAAATACTTTCTATCTCTCACTCACTCTTCACTCTCAGTCTCTCTCACTTTCTCCCATCTTTCTTCATAACCATTCAATGTCTTTCTCTCATAAACCCTAAGAGTCTTTTCTAGAAAACTAAAAAGACTATCTCTCAGTCTCTCTTCACTCTATAGGTCACTCACACTCTGTTTTTCTTCTCTCCATTGGAGTCTAAGAAATATTCTCTCTCTCTCTCTTTCCCCATTTTCTTCCTCCACTCTCTCCTCTCTTTTTTCTCCCATTTCCTTCCTCCACTCTCTCCTGCACAGATCTGTAAATATATATATATATATAAATATAAGTTTTAAGGTGTATTGTTTTGAAATTTGAATTTCAATTTTTATAAAATTGTTTCTACTCTCTCTAACTTCGCTGGATCTTCAAAATCAACTAAACTGATAATCAAACCGAGGTCTATGATTCGGTTGATTTCGAACAATATATCGACCGATAAAGAGTGATTGATTTCCTCACCCAATGGTGTCGGTTCAGCTGACGAACCAAGGGTAACCCGACCGGACTCAACACGACTCAACTCGTGAACACTCGTAGTTAATATAGCATGCGTACAGGGGACAAAAGAAGACTCACAATTCCACCAGCCATGGGTTATGGGACTTGAAATTTTGGTCAAGCAATACCACAAAACAAATTTTGACATTTGAGAACTTATACCACCCCGACATGTGGTGAGCCCTATGAGCACCGCAACATTATCACCATACCTCTACATGACAAAGCTCCGAGACCCGACGATGTCTTCACAACACAAATTGAGGTTGTATGCCTAGCATAAGTAGGGACATATACCCACCAACTAGGATGCTTAGCTCACAAGAGCAGGTGCCGCCCTAACAGGAAAGCGCTCCAAAGTGAATGAGTCAAAGTATAAAGAGCACGATGCATGGTTAGGAGCATATGTGGCAGAGCCAAGTTCACCGCTTAGCCATGACCTACTTGACAACATCATGGCTCTAGAGCACCCAGCTTGCCTAGAGCCTATGTTGGCCATTGTCCTTTGTACCTCATTCTTACTAGGAACACTCAAGACTGACTATCTCAACTCAATCAACATAACCTAGTCCTCGGCTTGCCTATGTCTCCCTTATGCACCCCCTATGTCTCCCTAGGCATTCACTGCTCGAGATCATTTAAGGATTATGGATTGGAGGCTAGGATCAAGGGTTCGTCAAGGTTGCCTAGCTACCCTAAGAAAACAACTCCACCTTGACTAGGTTTAACGACAAGGGACGTTGACCTTTCACTCTCGCCTGCTACATGCCTTGACACACCTCCCAAGATATCATACCTGCCCATCCAACTCCTATGATGGCCTAAACAGTGAGTAATTTAGGCTTTAATAGTTAAATTAAAAGCTAATAGGTATAGGAAGGGATTAAAGTTGATTTGGGGGTGATTGGATAGGGCTTTGACGTTGAAAAGTGCACTTTGCGAAGGTTGTGAATAGTAACCCAATAATAATAACCAGGGTATGTGCGTAAAGAAGAAGAAAGAGAAGAAGAAGAAGAAGATAGGTTTAGGAATCCCTTCGTTATTATTGGGTTACTAAGAAAGCTTTCTTAGTTATTATCAAACCCTATCGGATTTTGGAGCTTTCATAGTCCATAAGAAAGCTTCAAAGCACTAAAATATTTTTAATATATCAACTCCATTAAATATAAGCATTAGATGACTTTATATAGAACTAGGAGAGTTCCTAAACCAACTAGAACCAAAAAACTACTTTGACTTCCAAAACCAATTTAAGACCAAATAAGAAGTATAAACAAAACCAATTAAATAACTAGACCCACAAGACAACTCATGGACAACCCCTACAGCCCATGTCAGCAAATTTGAAATAGCTAAAATACCTCTGACTTAAAAATACTAGAAAACAAAAAAATAATCATAAAATAAGACTCTAATAATACTATAAACATAATTATATAAGATTCCTGTACGTTTCTCTTTGAAATCATGCCAATATCTAAATATCACTTCTTTGAATTTAGCCTTCCCTGAGCCTCTTATATTTTGCATCACCACCTCTGATGCCTGATACCTAATGCCTACAAACGTTGAGTTGGTAGATGTATATTGATTGAACTCTCTAACATATGAGATAATCCTCCCTCTTTTTTGTGCATGTAGAAAAGTGTCCATGTAAATAGAAGAGACATGTTGGAATTTTTATGGGACCAAATACAAATAGAAGTACTTGCAATATCAAATATATATATACCTGTGTAACAGAGCTCGGAGGAGAAGTTTGGCACTAGAAGCCTGAGCATCATTAATAGTGGAGGGAGGTGTAAAGCAGAGCCATTGTATAACCATAGCCTTTTGAAGACTCTGCAACCGATGTTGCTCAGCAACATTAGATGATTTATCATATTTTCCTGGTTTGATTTCCCGAGATCTTGACAGAACCCTGTTAGAGTAGATTGTAAACGAACTCCCCAGTTATGAAAATAATACTATTCAATTCACCCTGTCTCAAACAATAAAATTAAGGTCAAGGAAATAGATAAAAACCTCTCAACAATTTCTTCGAAACTGCCTTTTGAATCATCTCCAGGAGAAAATGGCAAGTACTCAATAGCAGAAAGGAAGATTTTATATTTGACATGCACACTAGCCAAAGAAAAAGCAACAATTTACCACATTAAAAACAAACTCACAGCTTCATATTTAAGAATCTTCTTATACTCTTTCTGTGTATCCAGGATAGTTGGTAGCACAGCATTCTCCCTCCCAGTTCTACATGCAATTTGTTGTTTCTCTTGAAAAGGGAAATCAGAAGCATGTTTATCATGGACAAAAGTGATCATATGAGAACTTCTATCACACGGCTAGTGGGACATTTTACAGCAAATGAACAAAGAGAACATTTATGAAACTGCTCACAGTACAGTACCCATAGGCCAATGAAATAAAGAAGCCAAGTCTCCTCATTTCAAAAGAAACAACCACACATCTCTTTAGTGACAACATGGATAATCTTACTAACATAGTTTAGTTGAGAAAACCTGGGCACAGTAACATTATCACTGCATTTCCCTTTGTATTGAATTATATTTGTTCACAGAATATATCTATCAATATATAACAATACAAATGCAAATAAACAAGTTGAACAGATGAACTTCAGCAATATCTTAACATACGTAGTTTTATCTTCTTTTTTCCTTTTCTTTTGCTCCCGACCTCACATAGCTTACAATACATACAGAAGACTAAATGTACACTATTTTGCAAACATAATGAGCAAGTTTAGAAACAAAAAAAAAAATATCTACAAGCCTAATTTTATATCCCAGTTTGTTAATATCTAAGACTGAGTATATTTTTCAGATGTGTTACTGAAAGAAGAGATTTTCTAGAAAATATTATAGTTTGGAAGAAAACAATATTGGTCTTTGTAATGGTCCTCTGTCCTCCATTTGTGGCTATGTGAAATATTTATATCCAATTTCTATATTTTTAGATTTTTTCTCTGAATTTCGTACAATGACACATAATGAATTTGATACTTGCAACTAGGATAATCAATATTGAATCATCATAGTAATACTCATAAACATGATCCTTTAGGCCTTGTTTGGCATGATCTAAAAAAGCTAAAAGTCACTATCCTATTTAAGTCACATCATCTTATTTAAGTCACATCACCTCGCTAACACATCACTTCAAACCCAACCCATATCTAACCCATATTTTATAAAAAGTCAAAACGTGCACTTATTTAGATCATCCCAAACCACACCTTAATGTATGCTCCATCATCTTCATTATTAATGTAGGTTTAGGGCCACCGTTAGTTAAAAAAATTTTGTCACGATTATAGGAAAGTTATTTTGAATCAGGCTTGTTTGTTTAATCCAGTTGTAGCTTTGTAATCATTACTTTGCATGAAAAAAAAAAAAAAAAAAAAATCTAAACAAAATTTAAATTAATAAATTTTATATTAATTGTAACATAACATAAAATATATCCCATTTTGTTAATATATAGGGAGGACAAAGGACCATTACAAAGACCAATATTGTTTTATTCCAAACTATAATATTTTCTAGAAAATCTCTTCTTTCAGTAACACATCTGAAAAAAATACTCAATCCTGGGTTGAAATTACCACCTCCAACACCGTCTTCAGTTTTATTTAGGGTTAATTAGAATGCAGGGTGTAGGAACAAAAAAAATTAACAAAACACGGGAGTTGCACCCCTCCATTTTGTGTAAAAAATTTTTCCTATCCCACTGTTTGATGATTCCCAAAATAATAAACAGTTTTTTTTTTTTTTTTTTTGATAAATAATTCCCCCAATAATAAATAGTGAAGCAAAATTGAGGCACCTGTAAATTGTGCACAAGCCTAAAGAAGCATCAACTCCCCCCCCCCCAGCCAAAAAAGTAAAAAAAAAGACTAAATAAATCAAACATAAAGGAAAAGGAATGAACAAGTTGGAGAACAAAAGAATGAGTAATGCTATACACAACAAATCTTACAAACTTTTCTAACTCACCTTTTATATCATTGAAGTGAGTCCAGTTTCCACAGTTTCATTATTGTACAGTTAGCAAGAAAAATTTGTAAGATTTGTTAGTTTGGATAGCATTTTTCCAAAAGTAATAAAGAGATGAAACAAATTTCAGTTCTGCCGTGAAAAAGCACCTGCTGTTCAGCCTTAATTCCATCATGTGCACAAAGAGGTCAATGCAACGATGATGTGTAAGTTGAGAAGCATAAATGCCAACCAACTCTTCACAGTGCTTTGAAAATAGAAATATCGCATACCTGGAAAATTAGAAATTGCATTTCCCAGTTAATAGTTGCACATAATGTCTCCCAATGCATGGCAATACCAAGCTAATGTAAACAATTGTATCCAACTTTGTTTAACATATACCAAATCATATAATGGAAAAAAAACATAACCTTGGTCATTCTTCACAAGGAAAGTAAGCCATCCTATCTACGGATGTCACACATTTCAGGGGTATGAAGCCATATCTCATCCAAGAGATCCTCAAATGAATCAACTTGACTACATGGATGCCATCATGTCCTTTCTAATGGACTAGCAGAAAATTGCAGGTACAAATTATAGATTTTAAAGACCAAGGTCTTACAAACAAAAAGAGCAAATACAGACCAATAAATTTCAAACTGAAATCCATTACAACAATTGATATTTGGTTTTCTATACAATAGGTCACTTGTCAATTCTTGTGTTTAATAATGCTAATTAGCTTTCATACAGTTACTCTCTAAAGAAACCAACTTGATTCTATGCTTTAAAACTGTAACTCCTTCAATTTTAATAAATCATTAAGTATCATCAGTTGTTCCTTCTTAGCTCGAGTGCTTTCTCCTACCGCTGGTGCAAGTATCTTACTTATCAAAACGAATATGAAGACGAATTGTTCTACTGTATCATCTTTATATGTGCTTTCAAATGATAATTGCAAATGAACATGACATAGCTGGACTCTCTACCTTGATAACTCTTGAGGACAAACAACAAAACAAAAGGCACAAATCAAAATAATAGACACATGTAAATTACTATTGTCCAACTCTAACCATGTTAAAAAGATAACTCCATTTTGACAATCAATTATTTTAGGTATTACTATCTATTAATAAGCATGGCTTAGAAATGCTTACATATGAAGAATGAGGTCACCAACAGTCATGATCTTCTCTCTGAAAGCATCCTTCATTTGTTCCACAAGTAAGTATCTAAGAACAAGAACCAAGTGTGCACCAAAACGAATCATCTGAGGATCACCATGAGGCCTAAGAGAAAGAAAAAAGCCCATCCAGCTCAATGACATGAGTATCCTATGCTCAAGTGGATGAATGTTTATAATAACAAATAGTGTTTAAGCAAACACAGATGCATGCATGCATGTGCACAGTATGTTCTTCACTTTTATTTATAAAAAAAAATGGAAGAACAAGTTCCAAACATGGCCCATAGTGAAACAGAATGCTACTTGGAATGCCAGTAAGAAACATCAACAGAGTTATTTTTAAGATGTTTTCCTTTTAAGCATTTGGCACTATTTCAGCCACCTAATCGTGGTCTAGCTTTCAAATGGATCAACACAAAGCTGTGAATGACGACTGCGATTTATATATCTATTTCGTTAATCACAACAAGAATATAACAAATATAACAGGTGGCCACAAATTGGAAGGACCATAACAAGTTATATGCACACGAACATCAAAAAGAAAACAAAGGTTTGTATCTCTAACTTTAAATGCAGATAAAAAGTACAAATTCACCTGAAGACGTTTTCCTCATCTTCGGATGGTGATATCCATGACCATATAACGTCTAGCAGATGCGGTATATCTCCCATCATAAGATTCATCTGGACATCAATGATCAGTAAGAGAAGACTGGCCAATGACATGTTATTCAAAACCGCGGAAACTAAAACAATTGCCACATTTGCTGATGTATACAAAAAAGCAAAAAAATCTTTCCATAGTAGAAAGCAAAAAAGACCAAGCACAGATACTTTGTTTTTATTAAAATTAAACAGAGCAAGCAAACATACAGTGCAGGGACTTTGAAAAAAGAGAAGTGAGGAAGAGAAAAAGAATAAAACAAATAGTGGTGCTCCAAACTTGTTTCTTGGTACTCCCTCCGTTCCAAAATATTAGCCTCTTATTCCATTTTTCATTGTCCCAAAATATTAGGCCCTTTTCAAAAATCAAGGACAAAAATAATATGAATTTCCTATTTTGCCCTTCTTTTAAATTTATTATAAAAAGTACAATTATGACAATTGATATTCCCTAAAAAATGTGCTATCAAAGGGTAATTTTAGAAAATCAATTTTTTTAAAGTGCAATAATTGTACTACCAAAAAAAGTTGAATTCCCCAAAAGGGACTATTATTTTGGGACGGAGGGAGTATAATATACACAAGAACCAAACCAAACCAAACTAAGCCTTGTGTCCCAACACAATACACACAAGAAGCAGAAAAATATATGTAATTCATCAACAGGTTACACGGATGTCATGATTCATGATATGGTGTATAGGAACCTACATTAGGTTTTTTTTTTTTAAATAAAAAATAAAAAGCTGCCAAAAGTAAGATAAGGCGCAAAATTCTTCCATTCTATAGGGGAATACATACAGAGGCAAGAAAGGAGATACAAAAGTAATCCAATGAATGCACAATAGACCTATTGCGCTAAACAAATAATCAGCAAAATATTGTAAAGGCAGTATGATACCAATGAGTTGCTAGCAACAGGTTCGTCACCAATAAGGGAATTTTGGTCATGACAGAAAACCCTTTGCTTTTTCTCATCCAAATTGAGAACTAAATTCTATTAAGCTACAGAGTACAAAACACCCCATAAATGACAGGACCAAATAACACAGATTAGAATTGTGTTCTTTCTGTGCCCAATTACTCAACTCACTTCAACAAAAATTTCCCTATTACATGTGGTTGGATACATGGTCATTTCCCCTAGCTGGCAATATTTTAAGTCGTATCCTCAGATAATTCTAAATCAATTATGTCTTTTCTTATCATCTCAACCCATCTCCTCATGGGCCTTTTACTTATTTTACCACTCAATGTGGATCAAATAAGTCCTCCTTACTTGTGCGTATGTTGGTCCAGGTTGCACATGCTTATTTAATGCACATTAGTTTCATACCCATGCAATGTGGGACTCCTGCTTCATACCATCTTAAACAGCCGCCTAATCACCCAGCCCGCCCAATCCGATCACATTACGGATGATTTCGCCAATCCTATTGTCGGCAACGGTTGAGATTCTCAAAATTTATTTGAATTTGAGTCGGACATCGAGGAAAATTTATTTTTTCTCAAATTGCCTTATAAGGTATAGCAATCCAACCAACTCTAATTCTTTCTATGAGCCACATTTTCCTCAATCTTTATGAATAATTGACTCAAAACATCAGAAATTGACCACTCTTGGGTACCACTTACCCCTCCTCAAGTGTTACTTGATATTTACCTTTATTTCTAACTTCGCTATAATTGCATTCCAAATAATTTGTTTTGGTCCTATTTAACCTAAAACCTTTAGATTCAATAGTGTCCCCCACAATTTTAACCTAAGAGTTTACCCCACTTATTTGTCAACTAAATCATATTATTTGCATACTATCCCATGCATGTTGAACATCAAATGTGCCCTGACATGTTTGGCCACCAAGTCAGCAACGACCGTGAAGTTTCTTTATATCCAATTAACTTCGGAATATGCATAATGTGTAGAATAGAACTCATAATCTACTACTTAACATGTCTAAATATTTTTCCTACACTGAGATATTGAATGGTCTAAATATTGCTAATTTGGTTCTTACTATGTAATTGTGCAACGTATTAGTTTTCATGCATGTTTAGGAGGTGAGAGCCAGTCAAGGAGGTGGTCAGTTACTAGAATTATCAACAAGTTAAATTCCTTGAGCCTGTGTTTGGATCATAGATTTGGGTAGGAGTTTGGAAAAAGAAAGGGAAAAAGGTGGGTGCAATGTGGCAATATTTCATTCACATTTCACTAACTTGTACCCTTTCCCTTTCCCTTTCCCTTTCCAAATCCCTACCCAAATCCATGATCCAAACACAATCTAAAATAAACTTTGATGATTGAAACCAGCAAATAGGTGGGTTGATCCTTACATTACTGTAACACAATCCCTTTTTAGGCAGTCCATCAAACAAGTTAACTGTCAACAAGACATCATTTCCAATAAGTCATAACCACCCTTATTTATCATGGAACAGGTGGCCCGTGAGACATCATTTTAGAGCTCAAAACCAATTCGTATAAAGAAGTGGCATTTGAATATTCAGGTATGCTAAAGTCTTCTGCTAAGAAGATGCTCTTACTTCAATTTGCCGGTGCTGCTCCTTGCATTCTTGAGTAATAGCTTCATGTACTGAGTCACTAAATCATGCAGAAAATAGAATTATCAAATACTAATATACCCCACCAGAAAACCGTAATAAATTGACGACGTATACCTTGAATGGAGTTTCTGAAGAAGCGCAGGCAGATGCCGGGGTTGCTGATTCAGAACTTGTAGTGGCCAATTTTCTGGCCCAACTGTAGATGGAGAAACACAGTCTCCTTGTCCATGACTTCTGTCAATTGCATCTTCGTAAGTTTTAAATTGATCCATTCCACCAGGTTGCAAGCGGGCTAGTTCAAGATCCACCTGAACATCAAGCCATGACTTGGCCATCGCCCAACATGCTGACTGCAAAAGCATTGGAAGTTAATTTCCAAAATAACTATAAACTACAGAAGTAACAAGGCAAGAAAATGAGAAGAAATGAAGATCAACGCAACTAAAACTCGCAAGAAATATTGCAAAGGGAGCGGCTAAACCTCAAGATTTGAGCCATTTAAACAAATTACGTATTTAAACTACGAATCAAAATTCACTGCCTCAAGCTCTAAACTTAACACACTGCTTATTCACAAAACTTGATTCCGTTGTCTACTAGTATAGTATGAGAAAGTATTCATGACAATGGAGAGAGACAAGCATAAAAAACAATACAACGTGGTTGTTGTGAAGGCAAATGTGTGGCTTGATCGTTATTTTTCTCCCTTCAAAAAGGGGGGTGTTTATTGGAATGGTACTCTAGACCTCATAATGGCTAAAATAACACTAAGGCCTCGTTTGGGAACTTGGTTATTTTAGTTGGCTTATTGGTTTTTTGGCTATTTTATGAGATGAAAAAAAAGTTGTGTTTGTGATGATTTGTAGATTTTTTTGTAGTTGAATAGATGGTTGAGAAAAAAGTGATTGATTGATGTGTAGGATGTGACATTTTGTCTTATTGCCTATTTTAGCCTTTTTTGTCTTTATAGGCTATTTTAGCCCCAACCCTTTTTCCCAAGCAGGGCCCAACTCTATTATCCAATCATGGCCAAATACAGCTTGTCAAGAGAGGGCCTTGGAAGTTTCTTACCCCTTCACAGAAGGTGCTTCTTGTAAAGTATAAGCTTCTAGTTCTAAAGTATCTCCCTACAACCAAAGCAAAAGTTAAATAAAATTGTGCCTTGTTGAAAATTATTGAAAATCTCAACATGGTTTGAAGATTGGGATTAGATAAGATGTTGGTCAAGCGGTATCAAATAGGATTGGGAAGAACTACGGTATATAGAGGTGCCTTAGATGTTGCATAGCTGAGCTTTTACCTTTTCTGTATAATCTCAGTATACATAAGTTGAGCCTTAAGGCTGTGAACCAAGCTATTATTGCGAAAATTGTAGAATACAACCACTAAGAAAAATTGGAAGTTTCAAATAGCATTTTATGTACTTGGTAGTTGTGGTTAAGTGAGGTTAGAGGTGGTCGGTTATGAACCTTTGGGAAAATGACGGGCACTTAGTGGCTTGAGAGCACTGGAGGTGGAGGAAGAGAAGACCAAAGTAGGCCTAGAGATGGGGGCGTGCAGTGAAAGACCTTGAACACTTGGAGCATGTTTGGTACAAAAGAATGGAATGAGTGTGGGAATGGAATGCAAGGTTGAATAGAATGGAATGTTCATTCTCATTCCATTGTTTGGTTGCCAACATGAAATGACAGAAATATAATGATAATTCTTATTCTCATGTTTTGTTATGCCTTTAAATTAATGGAATAGAATATTTTTTATTTTTTCAATTTTTTTTATTTATTATTATTATTATTATTTTTATTTTTAACAAGCTAGTAACAAACAAGTTAAAAATTCATATAGATTATGATAGTTGTGGAAAGGATGGTGTGAGTGGTGTGGTATTGGTGGCGGCATCAGTGGTTGTGATGGTATTAGGATGGTGGCAGTAGGTCACTATGACGGTAGTGGTGGTAAGCTAGTGTTGTGGTGTTTGTGGAGGTGGTGGTGTTGGTTGTGGTGGCGACAGTGGTGGTGGCAGGTAGTGGTAGTAGAGTGGTGGTTCTCACGATAATGGTAATGTGATTTTTGTAAAAATGGTGATAGTGGTGGTAAGGTAATGGTTGTGGCGGTGACGGTGGTGGTGGTGGTGGTGGGTAGCAGTAGTAGAGTGGTGGTTCTTGCGATAATGGTGGTGGTCGTATGCTTTTTGTTAAAAGTGGCAGTAAGGTAATGGTTCAAGCAGCAGAGGCAGTGGTGATGATAGAAGCGAAAGTAGTAGGGTAGTGATTCTAACGATGGTGGTAGTGATTGTGGAGGTGGTGGTTGTAGCGGTGGTAGTTGGGGTGATGGCGGCGGCAGCGACGGCAGCGACAACGGCGATGGCGGTAATAGGGTGGCGGCGGTGGTGGTTGTGGAGGTAGTGGTAGTGGTTGTGGCGGTGTGGTGGTGGTGATGCGGTGCTTGTAGTTGTGGCGTCGATGGTGGTGGTGATAATGTTGCAATGGTAGCAATGATTGTGATGGTGGCAACAATAGGGTGGTGGTTGTGGCGATGGCAATAGTAGTAGTAATGGTGGTGGCAGTGGTGGAAAGGAGTGGTAGTAGAAGGAAATGGTGGTAGTAGCTAATTGATAATGTTTTATGGTGATTCTATGATCGAATGGAATGGCTATTCCTTAGGTCAGAGAAAGGAATAGGCATTCTCACATGTTGTTAGAATAGCAATTCCATTGGAATGACTATTCCCACTTAGATAAGACATACCAAACATGGGAAATGGAATGCAAACCTAGAATGGACATTCTATTTCAGCCCCTTCCATCTACCAAACGTGCTCTTAGGGTTTGTGTAGTTATAGACTTTGTTGTATGGTGATCGTGGTCGTTGCATATATGATATGTAATATAGGCTCCTCTAGTATTGGAGGAGCCCAAGCAACTTATGGGGCAGGTGGCGGGCTCTCCTCACCTCAAGAAGCTGATATCAACCTAACTATCGTCTGGGGTGACACATCTAATATCTCAAAGGCAACGTATCATGCATGTGGAGGCGTGGATGTAAGGTCCACATTGTCTCTCCCTAAGGAGACAGCCAAGCAAAACCTTGACGGTACCATGGTCCTAGCCTCCAATTCACAGTCCTCCGATGGTCCCCAAGCGAGGTTGCCTAGGCCCCGCTCCTAGCCTAGAAAGCCAAGTGGTTGAGTATAATGAGTGACATTAAGGCAAGCCTTAGGTAGCTATGCGAGCATATGTCAGCCAAAGGACTGAATGGGCAGCCAAGGGCTCAACTTTAGGCCCCCAAGAGAGCGTGGGTGAGCTAAGAACCCAAATGGGCATGCAAGTGACTCTAGGTCCTCAATGAGCGCATAGGCAAGCTGACAGCCCAGCTCATTTGTCTTGGAGCTCTCCATACTTGATGGGGTGCATGCGTCGACTTAGGCTAGGCATGCAATCTCAATTGACAGTGGTGCCTTAGAGGTTTGCCACGTGGGGGTGTGATGACAATGATGCGGCGCCCGAAGGGCTCGCCACGTGTCAGGCGTGGTATAGGTACCTACAGTAGTCTTGTATAAGATAATAATATATAATTGTCTCCCAAAAGAAAACGGATTTTACCCTGTAAATGTGGCATCAAAAAATAGACAAAGTCATCTCACCATTGTGCTACTTCATTGCCCTTCTACAACTACATTTAAACAGTTATTCAACTAGATGACAATATGACAGGTCAACAACTAATTCTCCTTTCATTACAGCAGTTCAAGAAAACTAAATTACAAAGATTAACTATTTGCAATATCAACCACCTCTTGTATCAGTTTACTAGATAATTTTTAGGACTAATTTCAGTTTTATCCCGTAAACTATTGTCGTTTTTTTCTATTTCATCCCTAAATTATCAATTTATCTAGTTAATCTGTAAAAATTTGATTTCAGTTCATATGGTCCAATTCCATCCAAATCAATAATGAGGGAAACCTAATCCACTAGGCAAAAAGATAATTTGACAGTTTGGACAACCTAATAGTGGGTTTGGCAATAGTTTTTTTAGTAGTTTTTTTGTTGGCTTTTTTGTCTTTAGTGAACTTTTATAAAAAGAAATTTTCAAAAAAAAAAATTCACTTTTAAGTCCTACTAAACTAAACAGACCTGAAAAGCAACTAAAAAAAACTTTAAAATTGTGTTTTTTGAGTTTTTTTCTCTAGTGAGATTTTTTTCGAAATTTTCAATTTTTTCCTACTTTTAAGATCCACTTAGACTTTTTGGGTGGATAAGATCCATTTAGACTTGACAAACCTAAAAAATAAAAAGTTTTGGCACAAATTTTTTAAAAAATCACTTTAAAAAAAAAATAGGCAAAAAAATGTAGATTTGTTAGCTATGCCATACATAGCCTAAATCATACAACAACTATATTAGACAACTTACACTCTACAACTATACACCCATCCTCTTCTCTAACCCTCATTTCAAATTAGCGAATAAAAAAATGATTGTTGGGTTCATGTGGTTTAAATTGTTCAATTATTAAAATGACTTTTTGCCCATCAAATTAGGTTTTAACATTCAATTGGACTACTTTAGTTGAAATTAAAATCCTTACGACTAAATAAAAATAAAGGGTAACTTACAAATACACCCCCTGAAGTTTGCTTAAAATACAAATTACTCTCTGTAGTTCTGGAAATTACATCTCGCCACTTCAAGTATCTAATTGCATAACCAATGACCCATTTTATTAATAAATCATCAAGTCAATCAACAGTTTTTAATGATATCATAAATATATTTCAATTAAAAATTCAAGCAATTTTATTGTTGTATAGGAGAGTGATCAAGAATTTCATTTTTTCTATTAATTTTGGTACATAAAATTTTTTGGCAAGGGGGTATTTGTAATTTTCAAAACTATAGGGGGCAATTCGTATTTTAACTTAAATCTCAAGGGGTGGATTTGTAATTTAGCATAAATAAAAGTCATAATTTAAGGACGAAACACAAAGAGTGGTGATAGTTTCAAGAAACATTTTTTTGAGCATCAACAAAGAATTTTATTAAAAACGAAGAATGAGAGAAGACAAAAAGTCCTCAAACAAATAGATAGAGAAGGCAGAACAGTCAAAACAAATAACGTTGAATTCCTAGCACTAGAGATGGCAAGCAGCAACCTAATTCCTAGAAATCAAGAAAAATAAAACTCCTTCAAGAGGAGGAGAAGCAAATGCCCAAAATGAAGCCAAATATCCCGTCCTATTTCACAAAGCCTCCTCATCTAATTCCTTGCCGTCAAACATTTGTGCATTTCTCTCCAACCAGATAGTCCAAGAAATAGCAAACACAATACAAGACCACATTGTTTTGGCT